GGCTGTCTTCGGGCAGGCCTGGCAAACATGCTTAAGCCAGGTTCTGAGATTCCAGGCAGAAGGGCTCTGGCAGACCCAGTGGATTTACAACTCAACTCTTTCTTTTACCCTCCATGCCCTGGCTTCTCTCCTGTTGATTGTAACCTCAGGACTGTTTTGGCCCTACTTTTCTTTTCTTTTTTTTTTTTTGAAATGGTCTCTCTGTGTAATTCAGGCTGTCCTTGAACTCATGGTGATCCTTCTGCCTCAGTCTCCCAAGTGCTGGAATTACAGGTGTGTGCCACCATGCCTGGCTGGCCCTACTTCTAAAACTGACCTGCTTAATAACCACCTGAGTCTTACTATTGGGTTCCATATTCTTCCTGAGAGGGGGAACCCTTATTTCTGAAGCCTGCTTGAGAGCCATGGGGCTACTTTCAACAGACCTTCTTAGGCCTTGGGTTCCTACCTAGCGTATGATGTGGGCCAGAGCTTTGGGAATATCTGGGATTGCACATTTCACTGAGAGCAGGGAAGCTGGAGGTGGAGAGGAAAGTAGGGCTTTACCCAGATTCTGTTTCTTCTGCCCAGAAGGACAGGTAAGCCTTGGCCTGCCATCCTGTTGGTGAGATAAGGGACTTGAATGAATAGGCCTGGTAGGAACTATAGAAGGGAAATTCTTTCCATGATAGCTCTTCAGCCTTACCTTCTCTTTGTCCTGTAGAGAAACATTAGGGGAGGAAGTTGCCTGCCCTGGGCCTTACCCCAAGAAGCATTATCTGTGAGACTTTTTTCTAGTCCCTATTTCTCTGCTTCCTCCCCATGGGCTTTCTTCATCGTGGCCATATCCCTTCTGTGAGAAACATCTTGCAACCTCAAAGACGAATAATGGGGGTAAGAGAAGGACTGAGCATTTCGAATTCCAAGAATTGGGTGGTTCTGCTAGGCATGGTGGCATATGGCTGTAATCCCAGTACTTGGGAGGCTGGGACAGGAGGATCACTGTGAGTTTGAGGCCAGCCTGGACTACATAGTGAGACTCTATCTCAAAAATAAATAAATAGAGTGATTGATTCAGACTTGAAAAGGATGTTGGTGGCTTTGCAACAGCAATCAAAGAACAGACCCCGGGGGTTGCTGCTTCCCTGGGTCTTCAACAAATAGAACCTCCTTTCTCACTGTGCTGGATAATCAGAAGCAGCTCTTCACAGCCCACCCTATCAGAGTGTCTGGCTCCCCTTTATCCTTCTTGTCAGTGTTACAGAAGCTGGGTTGGGGTGCCCCAGGAATGCAGGTCAGGTGGTATTTTACCACGTTTAGAGGACAGTAGGTGATCAGTCTGGTTCACTCCCCTGGAGAAGGCTATCTTAGTTGGCCTCTAGCTGGCTTAAATGGGGCTCACTTTAGCTACAGAAGGTGTTGATAGCCAGACTTCTGGCTTAACATGAGATAGCATTTGGGGACATAATAGTTGCTCATTGGATAGTCATTTTGCATGTGTTTTCATCTACCTATGAAAGTAGGGAATGTTTTATTGCCCCTTTACAGGTAAGGATTCTAAAGCTAGTAGGTAGGAGAGACAGGACCTGAACGTAGTTCTGTTGAGCTGTAGAACTCCTCAGCATCTACTAGACTACTTCACGTATGTGTGGGAACACCCCACATGGATCGTCTTCTGGGTAATTCTCTTCCCCTTTCCCTTCCCCTTCCCCTTTTGTTACCTCACAAGGATGATGTCAACAATGATAAATAAATATGTGTTGTGGCAGTTAGGATTTAAACTCTGACAATTCGTCTCCAGTATTGACAGAATCTTTTTTTTTTTGATAACGGGGATCAAACTCGGGTCCTTGCACTTATGAGGCAGGTGGCAGAACCACTGAGCTAAATCCCCAGCCTTGAATCTTAACTAGTAAGGAAGAGGGTGCATGGCAAGTCTTGCCTGTGGATGTTGATGCTCCCTGAAGTTCAGGTGCAGCCACGCCTGGTGGAAAATACTGACCTGCTGTGCCACAAAGATCAGCCCCAGGGCCAGAAACACCAAGAGGGATGGGCAGGGCAGAGCTCACAACAGGCATGGCATTCCCAGGTTGGGCTTCAGAGGGACAGAGGGCCCAAATCCTTGTTCCAGATTTTCAGACTTGGAGACTGCCAGGCTCCTGCTACCTTTGGTTTATGTCCTTAGAAATGGGGTGTTACAAGATACCTGTAAGGTGCCTTAGAAGTTCCTAAGGAAGCTTTCCGACACATCTTCCTCTTGGAGTTGAGTCAGAAGAAAGATTGTCCCTGTTGATGGCCCCCCGAGAGGGTAAGGGGCACTGGAAGTCTGGCAGCTTGTCACCGAGGATGAGGCTGAGAAGAGGTGGGCCATGGAGGCCAGACCTTCAGGACCTGCTAGATTGGCTTAGGGTGCCTTTCAGGAGACTGGCTCCAGCAGACACCAGTGGGACCTGGAATTGCCTTTCTCTCCAAGATCTATGAGCTCCAGAGTTCTTTGAGGGAAGATAACAAGTATTTGAACATCTACTTGTCTACCGACACTAGAGGACTAGCCAGCCTTAGGTGAGCTATAGAGTACGTGAAGAACGGTGGGCCCAAGAGTTCTGCAGCTGGAATAAACAGAAGGGCTGAGGGGCTTCATGAGGATGCTAGAGAGGGTGAGGGCTTATAGCAAAGTAGACGGTCCCTGAAAGGCAAGAAGGTGAAAAGGGGATGTTCTGAAAGGAGAACCTCTTCTTTCCTGGTCTACCATGTGCGTGTAGGGAGGCGGGTGTTTCTGGGTCAGTCAGCTTTAAAAAAAAAAAACTGCCTTCTACTACTATATGAAGGCACTCCATTCACACCTTGGAAAAGGGAAGAGTCAGAATCCAGGGTACTTGTTCTTTCTGCCTGAGAAGCAAGCATTTGTTGAGCCAGCAAGCTTCTTGACAAGAGATGCTGGACAGTTCCTTGAATCTTTTTTTTTTTGGGTACTGGGGATCGAACTCCAGTCCTTGCACTTATAAGGCAGGCAGCGCTACTACTGAGCTAAATCTCCAGCCCAGTTCCTTGAATCTTAACAAGCTATGCTTTTCTCTTTTTTTTTTTTTTTAAAGACAGGGTCTCACTGTGCAATTCAATCTGGCCTTGCACTCACTATGTAGTGGCCTCAAACTCAGTGACTCTTGCCTCAGCCTCCTGAGTGCTGGGATTATAGGTTTGTGCCACCATGCCAGTTCTCTGTGGTTTTTGAGGACCCAAAGGAAGAACCTTGACACTCACACCTTTCTACTTCCAAATTGTCTTTGTGAAATTTCCAAGGTAGCTCTTGATGGTTCTGAAATAAGGTTCTGGTGCCAGCTTTGTCCTAGTGTGTGAGAGTGATGGTGCTGGATATTTTGAGAGAAATAGATTGGGATGCATATCAGGAGTTAGATGAGGCCCTCTTTTATATTGAGAAATAACTTGCATACTAAACAATCTACCTATTTACAATTGTGTGGCTTTCATTAAATTCAGAGTTGTGTGTTCATCACCACAGTCGATTTTAGAACATTTTCATTACCTCAAAAAGAGACTTCACGCCCCTTAGTTGTCCCCCTCAGATCACTCTCCTCTCACTCTCCTCAGCCCTGGGTAAACAATAATCTACATTCTGTCTATACTATTCTGGACATTTCATATAAATGTGATCATACAACGTGTAGTCCTTTGTTCACTTAATATTGTCATAAATCTTCTGTACTGTGTATCTTTCACTTCTTTTTATTGCCAATTAATATTCCACTGTATGGATGTGTTACACATGTTTATGGATGTGTTACACATGTTTATCTGTTCATCGTTGTTAGACATTTGGGTTGTTTCTACTTTTTGGCTAATAAGGATTATGCTGCCATGAACATTGGTGTGCAGATTTTTTTTGGTCCCGGGGATCAAACTCTCTGGACCTTGCGCTTGCGGGGCAGGCAGCAGAACCACTGAGCTAAATCCCCGGCCCAGTGTGCAGATTTTTTATGGACATATGTGTTCATTCCTCTTGGGTATATTTTTAGGAATGAAATTGCTAAGGAATCTGAAATTGCAGATCACATTGTCTGTATTTACCACTTTGAGGAATGTACAAGTCTTCATACGGCCATGTTTTCTTCTGAACCATACACTTTTTCAATTATGTTTATATACCTGTTCAGAGCCAGTTGTAACTTCTGCTTCCTCGTGCCCTTGTGTAAGCTATGGGGTATCTAAGGAGAGCAAAGCAGGGCAGATTGCTGCCTTCCTCATGTTCAACCCTTCTGGTCACTCGTACAAGGATTAAGTATTGACCATAGTCCAGTCCATTTAGGTGCCAGGGTGCATTGTGGAAAAGGGATGTATGCTGGCCTTTCTGGACTTCCATTCCCACTAGGAGATACAACAAATGTTAGCTGGACCTGGTGGCGCATGCCTATAATCCCAACCCTTGGGAGGCTAAGGCAGGAGTAATGCCACAAGTTCAAGGCCAGCCTGGGCTATATAGAGTTCAAAGCCAGTCTGAACCATATAGCAAGACCCTGTGTCAATCAGTCAACCAACCAATAAAATAAAAAACAAATATAAAGTAATAAATTGTAAAGGTTAACATAAAGCATTGGGTAGTGATGTTGATTGCTTTGAAGTGATTCTAGCCATGCTGCTCCTGGGACTCTGATATATAGTGTTTTTGCAGTATGAATAGGAGACTCGATCGCCCACCCAAGGCAGAGGAAATGCTGGTTCACTAATGAGAGATTGGTGGTGCCATGATGGAACAGCTCTGGTCCTAACCTCTGATGACCCCATGATCTTGGCACCGGACCTTATGCTGTCCTCTTTTGTAGTGAAGATTGGTTGTCCTGACCTCTCCTTTTTTTTGCCCCCTGCCTTATGATTCTTCACATGCTTCCCAGCCCCTCGGAGTCTCCTCCTGTACCCTATCCTCTTGCATTTTTTGCAAAGTCAAAGGCAGAGGCTTAGGAAACTGGAAGGACAGCATGTAAAGGCATGTCTGTTTCCACCTGCAGCCTACCTTGGGACACCTTGATTCCAAGCCCAGCAGTAAGTCGAACATGCTGCGGGGCCGCAACTCAGCCACCTCTGCTGATGAGCAGCCCCATATCGGCAACTACCGGCTCCTCAAGACCATTGGCAAGGGTAACTTCGCCAAGGTGAAGTTGGCCAGGCACATCCTGACTGGGAAAGAGGTGAGCACTGGGGTTGGGGTTTGGCAGCAGCTCCTGCCACGTTGGCATTCTAGTAGGTAGTGGTGAAACTACTACTGCAGTCAATCTGTTTCTCAGACCAAAATTAGATTGGATAGGGTGCTAATAACTGAGATAAAACTGGGTACAGTGGTGCATACCTGTAATCCCAGCTACTCAGGAGACCAAGGCAGGAGGATTCCAAGTTCAAGGCCAGGTTGAACAACTTAGCAAGATTCTATCCAAAGATTTTTTTTTTTAATTTTTTTTAAAGGCTGGGGCCAGTCATGGTGATACATGCCTGTAATCCCAGCCCTGGGGATGCTGAGACAGGAGAATCACTGCAAGATTGAGGCCAGCCTGGGCTACAAAGTGAGTTCAAGGCCAGCCTGGACTATGTAGCGAGACCCTGTCTCAATTGATCAGTAAGGCTGGGGATGTCGCTTGGGTACTCCCTAGGCTCACTCCTCAGTTTGGGTTTGGGGGTGGGAGCTGAGGGATGAAAAGAAATATGATATAGAAAGGAAGAAATAAGGAAATCCTGGATTTAGCCTGATCAAAGTGATCTTGGGCTGTTTCTGTCTTCTGTTTAGGTAGCTGTGAAGATCATTGACAAGACTCAACTGAACTCTTCCAGCCTCCAGAAAGTAAGCACCAGCACCTGCTGTCCTGTTCTCAGCTTCTTTCAGGGCTCAATGAACTCCTGAGCCTACCTGGCCATTCCACTGTGCCTGCCAGCCCCTAAGGCTTTGGCTGTATCCTCTGTGGACTCCCTGAGTGGTCTTCTGCCATAGATACTGGCTCTTCCAAAGTCTCTCTGCCCCTTCCAACTTCCTTGGTTTATCTGTCTGACCTACTTCCTGTGTTCTTATTATCATCTGGCCTTTGGCCAGCCCTACACAGAAACACATGTTTATAGCATTACTAGAAACACATATAGCTAATCCAAAACCTGGAATGATCCAGGGGAATGGCTCTAGAGGTACAGAGATAAGGAGACAAGGAGCCTGCTACTAGTTCTGTGCCAGCTGCCTTTCAGAGTGAATATGGAAGAATGCAGATTTTAGAAGCTAAATTCTAGTTCTGTCTCTTACAGAACACACACATTAAGGATAGGTCCTCCCAGTTTTCCTTCTCACTTCTAGTCTCTCTTGTCTAGATGTCACAGTAGTGACAGTAGTTTACTAGGCAAGGTTGAACTTTGCTTTCCCTCCTGTTTAACAGTAGGAAACTAAAGTCTTTTTTTTTTTTTTTGGTACCGGGGATTGAACTCTGGCACTAAAGTCTTTCTTAGTGGGTAAAGGAACCCTAAAGTAAAAACACAAACTCTGTGTCCAAGGAACTAAAAATATTTTGTAGGAGCAAGAAAAGAAAGAAGACTGCTATTTGCAGAAGGGGGCAACCTCCCTGTGGCTAGTTGTTATGAAATTAGAAACCCTCTGCTTCTCTCCTCATCTTGGGCTTCAGCAGTTATGAGAGGGAGGAGGCTCCTATGTGGTTCCAAAAAAGCTGTCCTATTCAGGTACAGCAGACTTTTGGGTCCTCCTACTGCAGCTGAGTCTCACTCATATTTTCTAGCAAAGACCTAGCACTTTTCATCTTGTGGCCAATGCAGTTTTTCTTTTTGTAAGCACATTGTAGTATTTGAGGGGCAGAGCAGGGTTCCATGTTAGATGGAGTAAAATCATCCTTCCAGGAGGAAGATGCTCCTGGAATTAGAGCAAGTGGAGTGAGTTCCCAGATATTGACAGTTAGAACCAAGGTATTTCCTTTTTTTTTTTTTCACTCCTGGGCTTTTAGGTTCAGTGGTATACACCTATAATCCCAGCTACTGAGGAGGCTGAAACAGAAAGATTTTAAATTCTAGGCCATCCTGGGCAATTTACCAAGACCCTGTCCCACAATTTAAAAAGGGCTGGGGATGTAATTTAATGATAGAGTGCTTGCCTAGCATGCCTCAGGTTTAATCCCAAGTGCCATAACAAAAAAAGTGGGTAGGGGGGTCTTTGGTTCAAAGAGAACATTGCTGTCATCACTAGGGCTTCCCCACTTTCATCTTTCTGAGAGGAAGGAAAGGAGGGCTACATTTACATTGGCTCCAGCCTCACAGAAGTAGAAGCCAGTGTGCGTGCACTATTGATCTTTGGAGCATTCTAGCCTACCATTATGTTCATCAGTTTGGCCAAACCATCTCAATCCCTGTCTCTTCCTTCTTACTTCTTCCTAAATGGCCAGAAGGTGCCACTGGACACATACAGCTGTTTTTTTGTTTTGTTTTGTTTTAACATACAGCCATTTAAAAAGCCTTTTAATATATTTTGTTACCAATGCCATTCTAATTAAGGCCAAATTACTGTTTAATGTTGATCCTAACAGTGATTCCTAAAGGACAAACATTGAAGAAGCTAGTCCTTTTCAGGTTCTAGGTGAGCCTAGAAAACTTTAATCTCTCCCAGGAGAATGCCACTTCCAGGCCAAGTAGTCACCCTTGGGGGCATACCCTGGCCACTGACTCGGCCTGATTTCAGTGCTCCTCTCTGTTACTGGTCCTGCAGTGATGGTCAGCATTTTTTGCTTCTTCATCCATCATAACTTGGTGGGCTGGGCTTGTGACTCAGGGTTAGAGTGCTTGTCTAGCATGCGTGAACCCCTGGTTTCTAGTCTCAGCCTGCTCTGTGTGTATGTGTACTTATTCATACATACACATATGCACATACACATATATTTATATATGACTAGAAAGATAGATAGACCAGGGAAGGAAGCAACAAGAACCTGGACCCCAACAAGAGGAGCTAAGGTTAGACTCCTGAAGATTAGAAAACCAGTTGCCACTTTTCCTTTCCAGTTCATAAAAGCTCTGGCACATCATTAAAGTGAAAAAAATAAATACTCACTTTAGCTGGGTGTGATGGTGCACACCTGTAATCCCAGCTGAGGCAAGAGGATCACCTCGAGTTCAAGGCCAGCCTGGACTATAGAGTGAGACCCTGTCTCAAAAAATAAAAATTTTCTTTTTCACTTTATTCTGTAAATTATATCCTGAATTAGGGCTCTAGACACTGCCCTGCCCTGAAAAGAATAAAACAACAACAGCAGCAAAAAACCAGCCAGTTCTATTCTTTGTACAAGTGAGGCCTAGAAGTTACAAAACCCCCACCTCCAGTTCTCTGGCCCCCAAAGGGGGAAGGGGTTCATTTCTGTCATCTTTTTTTATGGAAATGTATGGTTTGGAGCCCCTGATTTTGTTTCACAAAGAGCGTGAGTGTGTGGAGGTGGATTTGATTAAAATTGGCATCAGCTATATATAGGAGTGGCTGCTTCTGTCACCACCCTGGAGGCCCAGGAGAGAAAGGCCTATACCCCAGTGTAGGCCTTCTGACTTCTCTAAGTCAGAAAATGATGGGTGCCCCTTCAGATCCTCTTCCTGCCACCTCACCAGACCATCTAGAGTGTGTGTGGTCACTGAATTGGGGAAGGAGCTCAGATGCTCAGTAGTCACATCCACAGGCTTACACTCCTTCCTGTGAAGGCTCCCAACCAGAACCCTGCTCTTTTGAGGCTGGCTTTGGGTAGATGGGGAAGAGGGATCGGCTGGGTCCTCAATGCTGAGAGGGCCTGGGGTGGGAAGTCAGCAGAACCTAGCTCTCCTCCGGCTTCCATTTCTGCTCACATCTTTCCCCTGCCTTGAAGCTGTGGGAAGACTACAGTGAGCTGGACAACTGTCCTATTTCTTATCTCTGCCTGGATTGGGGTTTGATTTCTTTCTTTTTAAAAAAAAGTCCTGGCAAGGGCCGGGGATTTAGCTCAGCGGTTTCGCTGCCTGCTGCGCAAGCGCAAGGACCCGAGTTCAATCCCCAGTACCAAAAAAAAAAAAAAAGTCCTAGCAGGGCCTCTGTTTGGAGGGACCTGAGGGGAGCAAGTTCAGCAAGCATGACTCTTGGTGTTTTCTTTTCCAGCTATTCCGTGAAGTAAGAATAATGAAGGTTTTGAATCATCCCAACATAGGTGAGATGCAGTTGCCACTCCTTCCTTCCTCCCCCCAGCAGGGCTCCAAGTAGCAGCACATAGGCCTTCTCCCAGCTCATTGCCTTCCAGAATCTGCAGTCCTCAAGGGTGTTAAGGATGCCTGTGGGGAGGCTCAGGTCAAAGTCCAGCTCTACACCTGCCACGCTGGGCTGCCCTTGGTAGTTGGCTAGTATGAGAGGAACCTGGAGACAAGGGGAACATGATAGTGGGAACATTCATTACTAGGATTCCCTGGACATGTTGGGCTAGGCATATAGCCTCTAACTTCCCATCTGATTCCTGGCTTGGCTTTCTCTCTTGTAGTTAAGTTATTTGAGGTGATTGAGACTGAGAAGACGCTCTACCTTGTCATGGAATACGCCAGTGGTGGTAGGTGTGAAATGCCTCTTCCTGTTGTGCCCCTGCTCTCCCCAACCCCTACCAGTTCTCACCGTACTCCCACCCATCTCTTCTAGGAGAAGTGTTTGATTACCTAGTGGCTCATGGCAGGATGAAAGAAAAAGAAGCTCGAGCGAAATTCCGCCAGGTGGGTGTGCCTCCCTCCACAGGGTATGGTTTTACCTCTGCCTTTTAGGGTTCAGCATATAAGGAGAAGCTGCCCAGCTGTAAGTATCCTTAGGAGGGTACCTTGGGCTCTGTTTTTCTATGTGGCAACTTAGATTTAGTACATGAGATTACAGCTCCACGAGCTCCCATGGCCAACTTTTTGGCACCATTGGGCTGACCCTTCTTCCTTCCTTTCAGATAGTGTCCGCTGTCCAGTACTGTCACCAGAAATTCATTGTTCATAGAGACCTAAAGGTGAGGCATGTTCTTATCTTCTGTGTCCTTGAGTGGGGTTGAGTACTTCCCTCTGTCCTGTGTAATATAGCCATCAATAGCCATCAGACTCTGTGTATTCAGGAAAGTTTCACCTTTCTTTTTTTTTTGGTACCAAGGATCAAACTTGGGTCCTTGCGCTTGCGCAGCAGGTGGCGAAACCATTGAGCTAAATCCCTGGCCCTCACCTTTCATTTTTTTCACCATGACCAGGAAGCCCTTAGGAATGCTTCTGATAGAGAGGTCTTACACCTGGACTCAAACTCCCAGTGCAGGGACCCTCAGGTGGTCTCTGCCCTTTCCATGCTTCCAGTTTTGGCAGGAGCACTCCAGGCTTTCCTGCCCCTTCAGGCAGTCTGGCAGATAACCTGGCAGCTGACTGAGGAAAGAATGTGAGCGTTCCACATTTGTAGCACACTGATTTACAGGCATATCCACACACCTGTCACCAAGCTACTCCAATTAGAGACTGCTTTTGTGTCTCCTGTCCACTAAGTCCTTGCAGACATAACCAGAAAATCGGGGGCCTGACTCAAGCTTTGCTCAGCTCCCAGGGTCTCTGGGCCTGCAGGTCTTCCTCATACTCAGCCTGTTCATGCTGACTGAAACCTTGCCCTGGAGTGTGGTGGAGAAAGTTGTAAGGCTGACAATGACTATTCATTGGCTCCCCCATTCACCTTGCTCCTCCCTGCCCAGTGCCTCAGTGCAGCCCACATGGTGTCCTCACATTTGGTGGGTTTTTTGTTTTTGTTTTTGTTGTTGTTGTTTTGGTTTTTTGAGACACAAGTTCTTGCTGTGAGCAGGCTGCCCTTGAACTCGATATGTAGCCCAAGCTAACCTCAAATTCATTGTGATCCTCCTGCTTCAGCCTCCCAGGTGCTGGGATTACAGGCATGTGCTACCATGCCCAGCTATCCTGACATTTTTTATTTTATCCTCCAGGCAGAAAACCTGCTCTTGGATGCTGATATGAACATCAAGATTGCGGACTTTGGCTTCAGCAATGAATTTACCTTTGGGAACAAGCTGGATACCTTCTGTGGCAGTCCCCCTTATGCTGCCCCAGAACTGTTCCAGGGCAAAAAGTATGATGGCCCTGAGGTGGATGTGTGGAGCCTGGGAGTCATCCTCTACACCCTGGTCAGCGGATCCTTGCCTTTTGATGGACAGAACCTCAAGGTGGAGTGAAATGCAGACTTAGATCATTTTTATTACTTCCATTTCCTCTTGCCCTCTCGTCTTATCCTTGACCTCTCACCTTTACCACCTGTTTATATTTTTCCCAAGCCAGATCTTCAGAGCACGGCTGCTAAGGTAGCAGCAGTTAAAAAGTCTTCCACTCATAGGAATCAGCCTCAGTTCCTGTCTTGAGACATAGGATAAATAGTTTTGCATTCACCCCTTAAGGCACTCAGGTTTGTAGGCCTCAGATTGGTCAAGCGAGCATGTGTGATTTCACTCCCTTTCTGCTAAGGCACCTTGGCCCAGGCTGTCTGCTTTCTACCATATTTCATTTATGTCTCTTTAGACGGTCTTCAGAATACTGGATACTAGGTTTCTTCTCTTGGCCTTGCAGTGATTTAAATTTTCTAACCACAGGAACTACGGGAGCGGGTACTGAGGGGAAAATACCGTATTCCGTTCTACATGTCCACGGACTGTGAAAACCTGCTTAAGAAATTTCTCATTCTTAATCCCAGCAAGAGAGGCACTTTAGAGGTGAGCACCCTGGAGCCCAACTGGCTGAAGGTCCTGGGGTTCCCACAGAAACCTCCAAGATGAGTTTCCTCTGCCTCTATCTTTTTTCCCTTCCCTTTCCTCCCCAGCAAATTATGAAAGACCGGTGGATGAATGTGGGGCATGAAGATGATGAACTAAAGCCTTATGTGGAGCCGCTCCCTGACTATAAGGATCCCCGGCGGACAGGTGAGGCTGTGCTGGGCCAAAGGCTGACCTGCCTTGGAGTTAAGATCAGCCTTAACTGTGTGTCCTTTGTGCAGAATTGATGGTGTCCATGGGCTACACGCGGGAAGAGATCCAGGACTCACTGGTGGGCCAAAGGTACAACGAGGTGATGGCCACCTATCTGCTCCTGGGCTACAAGAGTTCTGAGGTGTGTGTTCCCTGCCCTATTCTTTGAGCAGGACTTCTTGGTTGTGGGAAGCACCTCGGCCTCTCAGACCCATGAAAAACAGAGCCCATTTCCAAGTAGACATGGCCTCTGCCAACCAGCTTGTGGTGTAGTGAATGAAGTAGAAAGATGGGGTCCTACTGCTGCACAAGCACAAGGACCCGAGTTTGATCCCCGGTACCAAAAAAAAAAGATGGGGGCCCTAAACCTGGGTCCAGGCTCCATAGGAGTGAATTGAGCTGGCCTGCCCTGTATTGACTAGAATGTGTCTATATCATCTGGCTGGCAGCTCTGTGTTGAGCTAGATATATTTGCATCTATATCTAGAAAGTGTATATCTCTGGGTTTGTGCATATGTCTCTCTGCCTTATGTGAAGCTTTGGTCTTTTGTCTGGGTCTATATTTCCATGTATGTGTCTGTCCTCCTGGCTGTGGTTCTGGAGGTTTGACGATCTGCCCATTTGGGTTTGGTTCCTTACCTGTGAATGCCCATGTGTACTCCTCAGGTAGTGGTGGGCTCCCTCTTATTTCTCACTAGTCTGCTTAAGAGGTGTCTGGTAGCCTGGACTGCTCTGTTATGGGTGGGATGTCCCTTGAGTCTGAATGTATGTTCTTGTATGTATTTGTGTCTCTGAGTATGTGTATGCTTGTCTGAGGACAGGATGTCTATGGGGCATGTCTTTGGCTATGTTTGCTTCTATGTGTGGCAGGGCCTGTGGGTCTCTAGGGTGAAGAGAAAAATGCTCAGGTGTGTATTAGTCTTTTGGAGTAATGTCACCTGTGAGCCTGGAATGTGTATGTGTCAGGGAAGGGCAGTATAAATAAGAGTATATGTGGGCCAGGGATTTAGCTCAGTGGTACCTCACCTGCCTCAAAAGTGTAAGGTGCTGAGTTCGATCCCTCGTACCAAAAAAAAAAAAATAAAAAAAAGTAATTACAAACCTTCTGCAAGAGCAAGACCACACATTAGTCGCCTAGAAAAAAGGATTACTGAGCAAAATATTTTTAGATA